AGATCATAAATTTAAATATACTCACATTCAGAGTTGAATAAGTTAATGTTTTTTTTTAATTAAATAAAATTAAAGTTAATGGCTTTACAAAATTAATAAAGTTAATTTAAAAATTGAAGGAATAAAAAATTAAGTTAAATTGACTTACGTTAAGTCAATATTGAATTAACTTAAATTAAAAAAAAAATTAAATTTGAAAAAAATTATTTTTTAGTTCAAAATGTCCTAATTTTTCTTAAAATGAGATTAAATAACTACAATAGATTATTATTATTAAGTAAATTAAATTTAAAATTTTTTTATTTATATGTGATATATTATAAGTATATAACACATAACGATATAACTAGATATAAGTTATATAATTTTAAAAAAACAGTCAACACATAGAGAAGATATAAGATCAGTGATTACTTTTTAATAAGTCTTAAGCCATAAGAAATTGAAATTACATTCGAATGCGAGAAGAATATTTGACTGTAATTGATCAATTTCTTATGACTTAAGACTTAAAACTTAAAACACTTATTGTAGATCCGGATTAAGACTTGTGGCGTAAAGCATAACCGCATAAACCAATTAGAGGGTTGTATTAGCATCTTAAGAAATTACTTAGATGATCTAAAATATGAACAAATTACGAATATAGTCCTTAGTCTTATTATATCTTTTATATTATTTTTCTAAGATATTTAAAAGAGATAAAAAAATTTTTTAACTTAAAAAAAAATTAAAAAGTTAACGTTTAAAAGTAATCTAATTAAGTTAAAATTTAATGCATTTAAAATTAAATAAGTTAAGTTAAAAGTTATTAACTTTTTAACTTTTTTTTTAATGTCTTAAGTGGTTACTACCAGTAACCAGTTAAAACCCAATCCTGTTTACATTATATAATTTAAGTTTTAAAGTATTAATGTCATGCACTTTATCAGCGTATGTCATTACTGCTTATACAGTACATAGATTGTCAAGAATAAGATAATTAGTATCTAAAAAATAAAGACAAAAAATAAGACAAATGTCTTGTAATTAAAAATATACGTAATTCAATATATATGTTATTAAAAGTATACAATTTTTTTTCATTTTGAGATTAAGCTCCCAGTCAGAAATAGAAATAGAAATTCTCAAAAAGACGTCGTTTCGATATCGAAAATAAAAATTGAAAGTTTTCGAAATTTCTATTAATTTTGATGAATTTTTTGATTAATTTCGATTAATTTTCGAGTTAGAAATAAAATTTTGAATTGATCTGGTCAGCATAAAAATATACTACTAGTATCACTAATGCAATAAGTAAATTCGACAAGAAGTGTCACTAATAGCATAGTAGTGATGGAGAAAATTTCATTAAATTTTCATTGAAATTTTATTGTGAAAATAAGTATTATTGATTAGCATCATATTTCAGAGGACACACAACAAAATTATAATAAAGAAAATTTATTTCATAAATTCGAAAACTAATTTTATGATGCACCCATCCTCCACTTCCATCATTCTTCATTTCTGTAATCATACAGGAACTGCTCTTTCGAAGAATCATGAACACCTATAATGCTAATGAATGTATAGTTGTAACATACCTGTTCAAAGATGTTGTAAAAGAGGCGGAACACATAAAAAAAAATCAAATAAAAAATCGACGTTTTTTCGAGGAACTATTTCTGACTGGGCTAATATTAATAATTAAATTATAAAATCGGTACTGACAATTCTGCTCTTAATTAAGTTAATCTATTATAATAAATTATTTTGTGATATTATTTATATCTTTTTCTTTCTTTTAGAATACCTCGTAGAAGCTGAATATCTTTCTGTTGATCCATACATGAGACCTTATGTGCAAGATCTCCCACTCGGGGTCACGATGATTGGTACTCAGGTAGCAAAGATTGTAGAATCTAAAAATCCAGCCTTCCCAGTCGGCAAGAGAATCGTCGGAAACCTGGGCTGGAGAACTCACACGATTATCGATCCAAAAATCAGTGATCAGTTTTTCAAACAAAACCCGTACCTTTTGCCAGATATAGATGACCTGCCGCCATCTCTTGGTCTTGGCATGTTGGGAATGCCGGGGTAAAGATTTTCATCAACACATTTATCGAATTGTCTTGAACTTGCTTGTCATCATCCTTCGCGAAAAAAAAGCAAAAATTAAAAATGTAAAAGGTATTGCAAAGCATATTCTTTGCAGCGCAGCGATGACTTTCATTTAACTTTTGAGCTGTGTATAGATTACATAAATTATGAATCGGCATTAGCATTAATTAGAGATTTCCATTTGAAATAGAAATTTAATTCTTGAAATTGAAATTTAATTTTTTGAAATATATAAGCATTTATTTTGATATCAACAACAGAAAAGAAGATATAAAAAGATATACAAGTCATTTGTCTGTGTGTCAATGATATTAAATGTCAATGATATTGAATACTTCGCAATTACTGACGTTAAATAAAACATTGCCGCTTAGTCATGCGTGTGACACGGATGACTTTTTAATCAACATTTAGGATAGGTTATAATTTAAACTATTTACTTAAAAACTATTTTATAAAAAAATGACATACACTTTTATTATTCAATTTTTCACATATTTTTATGCGATCTTTTATTGGCTTCCAATTTCGGAATACCCTATACAATAAAAAACTAAACTTTTTACAACCCTTTCTCT